TCTACCTATGTCCCTGCTTGCAAAACCAGGGCTCTGCCCCACTGCCAGCTGTCACCCCTGGGGTCTCCATGGAGACCACATGGAAGCTGCACGGGTAGGGTATACGGCCAGGGGTTGCATCCAAGGCCAGGTCTGGGATCTGGGGCTGAGGCCGGGGCTGAGACACTTTCGCTCCCGCATGGCCCTGCCCATGGATCCCACGCCGGTCACAGGGGCGTGCGGCCACTAGATCTCAGTGCTGTCCTGGCCCCAGCCCCGCGCTGTTTCCTCCACAAGCTCTCAGGGAGCCCATCTTGCTCCCAGACACTACACCCCGCCAGCCCGTGGCCCCATCCCAACCACCCACCTATGCGCCCTGCCCACACAGGTCCCGCCCCCGCCCGGCACCGGGCGTGGGGCAGGCGGGCCGCGGTGACTGGGCAGTAGGGCTGGCTTCCACAGCCGCAGTTGGAAGGAGCGCTGCCGCCGGGGCTGCTGGGAAATGGAGTCCGGCTGCTGCGCTGCCCCAGCCCCGCTGAGCGCCCGCGGGCAGCGGGACCTGCCGCACACGCATGGGCGGGGCCAAGTGAGCCTCCGTGGGCCGGGCAAGACTGTTTTGCGGGCCGCCTTACCCAACCCCGCCTTACGAGGATCTTAAATTAAAGGCAGTGGTCATACACCCCCAGATTAAATATAATATTAATAAGTAAAATGGTATACCCTTTTCATTTTTTCTACCTTTGTATATCTCTGTGCCAGAACGGGACACAGCACTCAGATACACAGTGTCACCGGTGCGGTATACAAAGCTGAAACCACCTCCTTCCTCCTATTTGCCATTCCCTTATTGATATATCCAAGGATTGTGTAAATCAGCTTTTTGACCACTATGGCCCCTAAACCTCTAGAGTCACTATTTTTAGGATGCAGTGCTAATTTTGGAAACAAGGGTGTAGATTGTAGCCATGTTGGTCTCAGGACATAGGCAGGCAAGATTTTTTGTGTGAATCTGATATCTTTTATTAGACCAACTTAAATAGTTGGAAAAAATTTTTTTTGCAAGCTTTTGGGTTTAAAAACCCTTTGTCAGGCTGAGGATTTGTAAATAAGGCCTATATACTTTGGACCACATATTCAAAGTTACTAAATAAAAAAAAAATCAACTGACACCTACACAAAAATTGTACTATTCATGTTATGTTTGTCTTATAATTTCTTAATGGGAAAAATAACTTTAGGTAGATTACAATTATAGATAGGGTCATAAGTATTTACATGTTGTTAAAAGTATCTGAATCTGTCATTAGTATTTTCCATATTTTTAGAAAACTTAACTTCAGGTATTTATAACAATATTAGTCACTACCATACTATCTAATTCCCTCACAATGTGTAATGTTTTTATGCTCACAATATCCTAACAAGGTAGAGTTGCTCTATTATTTCCATTTTACGGATGATGAACTGAGGGGGGAAAAAACCTAAGTAATATGTTCAAAGTCACACAGAATAACAGGGACAGTATGAAGAAAATAAAGCCCAGATCCACAAAGATGCCTAAATCTACCTGAAATCAATAGAAATTAGGCATCTAAATGCATTCATGGATCTGGCTGTAACCCAGTCTCCCAAATCTTGGACACATCTACACTTGCCATTAGGGGGCAACAATATATACAGTGTGTGTAAGTTGTTCAAGAACAAAATGTGGCCCTACTACTGGCAGACATCTTCCACACCACCTGGAGCTTCAGATGCTTCCAAATCCTTTGGCAGGCATCTTAAGTGCAGGCCCAAGCTGGAAAGCTTGGGGTTTGGATGCACCCAAGTTTCACTTTCCCTGAGTCATTTGGCTGCAGGAGCAAGCTAGGGAGGAGTCTCCCATTTTCATAAAGTCAGTATGTACCCAAGATCCTCTCACTGAAAGGTGGCCAGTGGGAAGCTGACTATGAGGCCCTCATAGGGAGTCTTGTCCGTGAGCAGACAAGGGTGCAACCCTCCACTACACAGTGCCATTTTAATTGTATTACCTCTGGCAGAGTACTTCCCTTACCACCATCACGGTCATGGTATTTCCCCTGGCAACAATATACTGTGGAGCCTATTACTCTGCAGTTTATTGCTCCTAGGAAGCTCCTGGATGCATGACTTACAAGTGTGCACAGGGCACAGCACATAGAGCTGGGTTGCAGCAGCCCTGGCTGGCAGGAGGCCCGGGGGGCGGGGCAGGGGGATCAGCCTACCAGCCCAGGGCTACTCCGATCAGGTTCAATGTGCTCCAGAGGGGTTGTCTGGGGTATGAGGATGCTTCCTTCAGTGCAGTGCTAGCCAGCAGGCATCCTCCCACACTGAAGCACCCTGGTGCCCCAGCCAGTCAGCTCCAGTGTCTGCACATGCACTAATGTACATGACAAAACTCCGCAGCAGGGTAGGACTTTTATTTACCAGTCTTACCCTGCTAAGGAGTTTATTAGTTTTGTGTGCCCTAAGAGGGGTGCATGTGTAGATGCTGAGATGTTTACTGTGCAGTTAAATAGTCAACTGCAAAGTAAATGTCTCATGTAGATGTAGTTCAGTAGTAATTTAATTTGTGGACTATGGTTCGTCAGTTTGCAGCAATTGAATTTATACTGTGTTCTGTACCCACTTCCGCTAAACTGACTAAAAGAACAAAAATGTAATAGAATGTAACACTATCAGCAATGGAATTGTTTAGTATATACTTCCGCATCCTGTACATGGTTTATTTACATCAGTGTAGCACCACCATTGCAAGCTTCCAGGATCTTTGTGCTATGATACTAATAAGCATAATTGCTAACAATAGATGGGATAGATTACAGTAAATCAAGAATTTACTATTTTTTCACTGATGCGGGTACTTGCATGTACCAAAAATAAGTTCTCTCTGTCTTACACACACACACACTTTTTAATGACTCTGTTTTGGCAAACAAACAAAACTAATATTTTACTGGAGTTACCTCAGAATAGCTGCACCTACTGTGGAAAAATTAAACTTAGTAATTAATCCCTAATAGTGAACAAGATTTCAAACAGTGACTTACAATTATAGCAATTTATCTTTCCATTAACCAAATCTGCATAGTAGTATAATTAAATATTTAACCATTGCCTGGTATGTTTCATATACACATGCCACAGCATAGATGCTTCTAATAAATAATGATCACGAAAGCAGTCCAGCTATTCCTTAACCCCCTCTCCTTGGGGTCGCTAGCCAAATTCCCTCCAATCCCAAGCACAATGTCACAGCCTGCTTCCTTTGTGCTCCATTTTCCAGGCATGATGTGGAGAAATGTAAACTCTGAAAAAGCTAGATCTGGAATAGGAGCAAAGCTGCCATGTTAGCATGGTGCTGTATCCTGGCTAATTAACTCCACCTTTCTGTTTCCCATGTTGGAGATAATAGACTTGAAATATTTTTTTTTGTGGGGGTGTCAACTTGTACTTTGGGGGTGGGGGGTGTCAACCAATCCCTCTGTACCTGCCTGGGTGGCCCACAGGTTGAGAACCATGACTTAAACCCACCACTAACATATTAAACACACTTCCTGTACAGATCACTTTGGGAAAAGAATCATAGAAAATGAGGGTTGGAAGGGACCTCAGGAAGCCATGTAATCCAACCCCACAAGAGCATGCGAGCAATGTATAACGAAGTCTAACTGTCACTTTTTGCTATGGCAAAACTTGGGTTTTGTTTTGGTGTAACAGAACCTACCGACATCTAGCCTAAAAACTAAAAGCCTATTTTGTAGCAATGATTCTAGCACTATAAACAGTTACTGCCATTTTAACTCGTCCCAAAGCTTTCTTCTGAGATGTTGCCTATACATACCAAGAAATCAGCATCCTGTATAACATCATGTCATCCCCCTCTTTACGGTCCCCATGCCAAGCAAGGAGACGGATTACTTTGTGCACTATTATGGACACAATCTGCAGAACTCAACACTTAAATGAGACATAATTCTTTGCTTCAGTGGACATAACTACCTCCCGTCATAACATGGAAAGAGTTTTGTTAACCGTCTCTGTCCAATACAGCAACCCCTAACTTGGCTGGAGAGCAAACCGAACAATCCTGGAGTTCAGGCCTGTAGAACACAGCACAGCTTAAGACAACATTGGTTCTTAGCCCTTCTTTACTCTACTGACTATGAACTCTCCTTGTTACCAAACCCCTCCCAGTGGTTATTGTCAGCCCTAGGGAGCAGACTTACAGGTGTAATTCAAAACTGATATTACATCTACTAAGATAGCAGTGCCCAATCTTTTGGCTTCATGGGTCAAATACAGATCTTGAGCTCAATTTGGCATGTGCCAGATCACAGCCACAGCCCCCGCACTAGATTGGGCCTGCCAGCCCAGCCCCAGCCTTGCTTGTGCCAGCTTGGGCCTGCTGCCCTGCCCCCAGCCCTGTGCGTGCTAGATCCCGCCTGCCCCTCCCCTACGGGTTCAGGTCCTCCACGGGCTACCGCGACCCCTGTCACCTGCCCCGCGGGGCTCGGAAATTTGGCGGTGGGGGCTTGTGAATTGCCCTGGATCTCCCGTAGAAGTCCAGAGCCTTGGGGAACCCGTCGCGAGCTCCGCGGCCGGATGCGGCCCGGGGTCTTGAGCACCGCTTGCACCAGGAGATGAAGAGAGGTCACGGATCGGGGCAGGGCGCGAGGAGAAACCTCCGTCCGGGCAATCCTGCCAGATCCGAGCCGCCAACCTCAGGCCTGAGGCTGGAACAAAAGCGGGGCCGTGGCCCGAGGCTGCCCCTCAGCCCAGCCAGCGGCGCTTTCGACCGCAACGAGCTGTCGCGCACTTCCCCTGCCCCAGCGTAGACCCGCGGACCTCCCCGCTACGGGCGGCACTACGAGTCCCGAGATGCATCGCGCGCAGGCCAACCAAGCCTGCCGGGAGCGTACAGGGCCGCCCACTCAGCGCGGAACCCGCCAATGGGTGGCGGGGCGGCGCCAGGGGGTTCGGCTGCGCCGGGGCAGGGATGGCGCGGGTTCATTGAGGAGGAGGAGGAGGGGCCGGGGCCAGCGGCGGCGGCGACACGATGCCGGTCCACTCGCGGGAGAAGAAGGAGAACAACCACGATGAGATGGAGGTGGATTACGGCGAGAACGAGGGCAGCAGCTCGGAGGAGGAGGAGACCGAGAGCTCGTCCGTTTCCGAAGAGGGCGACAGCTCGGGTAGGCGGGCGGTGCCGCGCGCCCCTCCCCCCTGCCCCGCGCGCTGTGGCCGGGGCCGGCCCCTCCAGCCCAACGCCTCAGCTGGCCGCCTCTCACGGGGCCCCACCCCTCCCCGTGCTGGTTTCGGAGCCGTTGACGCTTCTCCCCGTCCTCCCCGAGCCGCTGCGCCGTGCGGGGCCCGCCCCGCTCGGAGTCGGCTGCCGTCGGCTCCTCCCTGACTCGGTGCTTCCGAGGCGGGGCGAGGGCGGGATTTCAGCTCGGCTGCCCCGTATGGGGCACGCCCCTGGGTGTCCCGGTGTCCCTCCAGTTGGGTTTGCCTAGATCCCTGTTAGAAACTATCTCCCTCAGGTTCTGTGCAAGAGGCAGGCAGTTTCTTTCCCTTTTTGCTGGGGTAAAGGGCAGGCTTCAGTCGCCTGAGGATGGCTTAGGTGGCCAGTGCTGCTTAACCAGGTTGGGTAGTGAGTTGTTCAGGATGGGGCTGCCTAAATCTCTGGGGCTTGGGAGGTCCAGGGTCTCACCAGTGTGAGATCAGAGCCCCAGTCACCAACGTCTTAGTAAAAAGTGGGAGCTACTGCAGGGCTGGGCACGGGGGTCTGGAGCAGATGGGTAAAGTGATTATTCCTGGCAAGCTCTGTGGAGCAGATATTGTTATAGCCTTGCTACAGTGGGGGATGCAGGTAACAGCCAGTTTGCTTGAGTGAATGGCAACCCTGGGAAAAGCTGAAGCTATATGATGCTTTCACTGATGTAGCACACATTGGTGTGGCCTTACTCCAGTTCTTTCAGGGTTAATCATATGCTAGAGATTGGGCAAAGTATACCCGGGATGTTGAGGTTTCAGCTGTCATGAAAAAAACAGGAGCAGTCTGTGTAAATGGGTTATTGTTTCAGGTCCTTAAATAACAGCCCCCATCATGGTAGTGTTAATACAGTCATTATTGTATTTATCTGCATTACAGTTCTGAGAAATATTGTATATACTTGAATACCAGACAAGGATTTGTTTCCCCCAGTCAGCATGGGGAAGAAAACACCTCATCTTATATTCATGTACAAAGAAACTGTATTAAGTACATCGCCTACCTTTGAACTGCTACTAAAAGTAGTATGTGCTTTGTACTGGAAACCAACTATGTCATTAATTAAATATAGTCAATACTGAGCATGACTGTAAAACACTTTTTTTTTTTTTTTGGTAAAAGTATACGTCTTTATATATACATAAAGGTGTATGTTTTTGTATGTGTGTACACACACATACACACACATGTACACATACACACCTTCTAGTCGCTTTTCATCATATACTTGTACCTTCACCTACAAAAGAAAAACCTGTGCACCTATTACAATATGCATACCTGTGGAACCATGCTCCTGTGCACCCGTCCACAAGGCTGCGTCTCCCTTAAACCCGCTGTCTCTTAGTCCTTTCCCTGAATACGGGGTTTAAAAACTTAGTTCACTCACTGTCACTGGAGGATCAGCTGCTGCTGTGCTTGTTGCTGCCTTCCAATCCAGTTGTCTTGACACATCCTCTTTGCTATTGCTGTCCGTTTCCCCACTTGGTGTAAGACTTGTCAGGTGTCCCTCTGCCAGGTAGATTTGGTGTCCTCACTGCCCTCTGCTGCCAATTTCTGATAGTAGGACGGGAGTTTGCTTAGGGCCATTTTAACACAGTCTGCCACCTCTAGTTCGTGTGTCTGTACATCAGGAGGTTCCTGGATTTCTGCAGGGTGCACCTGACGCAGGACATGAACTGATCAAAGCAGGCCAATGGTCAGGTGCCCATATGGCGCTGCCTCTCTGGTCAGCTCTCCGACCCCTGTCATCGCTTTGCAGAGCCGCTCTACCTTTTTCCACACCTCCTTGGCATCAGAGCAGAGCCATAGGAGGTGGTCGATCGTCTCAGTGGCTCCCTGGCAGATTGCCCTCGGGCGGCAGGATCTCGCTGGCTGCCCCTTCCTGTGTGTCCAAACCCTCACTGGAGGGGCTCAGTGGGATACCAGCCAGTTTGAGTCTCTGTGGTCTTTGCACAGGCCCATGTGGCAGATGCGCTCCCACACAGCTTGGCAGGCGTCACCCAGGAGGAAGTCTACGGGTGACGATATCTTTAAGTCTCACCCCCCTCCTTTATCTTCTTGTGGTTGGCCATGGTGGGGCCTGCATTCTGTAGGCCGTACGTGCTGTGAAGTTCATTCAGGATCTTGTAGAACCGAGGTGGGTCCATGAGCCACAGTCTCCTGTTGGTTGGCGTGAGCACCCCACAGTGTCTTGGGAGGTGCTCTGCAAAATATCTCACAAGACAGGCTGTTTTGGACTCTGCTCATTGCCAGTTTACAGATCTGGCTCATGTACTTTGCCCATAGGAACAGGAGGGTGTCTGGCATGGCCCTACCCCTGGCTCGTTTGATCTTATACAGATTCTTTCTGGCTACCTTCTTCCATCTGGAGCCCCAAAAGAATACACAAATTACTCTCTGGATTCTGTGGGTGATATGCTTAGAAGGGGGAAGACCAGTGTGGTATACAGAAGCAGGAGCAACCCTACCTTCATAAGTGCCACGTGTTCCTCCATAGAGAGGCAGTGAGAGTGCCACAGACCCAGCCTGTGTTTTACCTTGGCCTCTGTCTTTTTGCATGCTTTCCTGCTGCTCAGCTTGGGGTTGAATTCCACCCTGAGGATCTTGACCCCCTCGTAGGGGACCAGACACACAGGGATTCCAGGTCACTGAGCTTACCCACAGGCAGGTGCTCTTGCCCACATTGAGCTTGGCCCCCGATGCCGCCTCGTAGATCTATGTGCCATAGAGTTCTTTTTAATGACCACTTGCTTCGGCACAGAATGTTCAGATCATCCATATAGACCAGGACCTTCTGTGCTGCTGCCTGGGATGTGAACTCCGCAGATTCTGGGGTCCTGCCTGATCCACTGGGCCAGGGGTTCAATTGCACACACAAATAGGATTGGGGAGAGCGGGCAGCCCTGCCAGACCCCCAGCTCCACTGTGATCTGTGCACTCGGGAACCTTTTGACCTGCACCTTGCTGCTCACATCCGTGTAGAGGGTCCTGATCCAGTGAACAAAGGTTGGGAAGATTCCCATCTGCTTCAGCATCTCAAAGAGGAACTGGTGGGATACTGTCATAAGCTTTCTCCAGGTTCAGGTTCGGGACAGTGACGTTCTGCCTTCTCTCTTTCCAGCTGGAGCGCATCTCTCAGTTGCAGCAGGGCTCTGTGGATCGGGTGCCCCAGATTTTGAAGATGGGTCATGTCTTTACTTTCCCTGGCCTTTCCTACGAGCCCTGCAGACTACACAATGTGATTCTGCAGCCTGCAAGTTTGATACTCCTGGTCTATGCTATTGGTTTAGGAGAGAGCAGTCAGACCAGCACATGGTATTTTAGGGCTGTGCTGGGCAACTTTTTTTTTGGTGACAGGTCACAATGACCTGGCTTGAGTTCAGTGCAGGCCATCGCTGAGATCTTGCCACTTCTCCCCACTACCTTGCTGTAGTATGGGCAAAGCTCTGCCCTACAGAAATGGCATGGAAGTCCCCAAACTCCATGGGTAGGATCCCATAGCTCTGCAGGTTGTAGCTTGCCAATCCATGCTTTAGAGCACTTCTGCCTAGCCTGGTAAATTTATGTAGAGCTTGAGTGACATGTGTCAAGGTCACACACAAAATTGGACAGAACAGGAAACTGTACTCAAGTCCAAGGCAATTGTCGTAGCCTATGTTGGCTCCTGTCCGTGTAAAGGTTCACTTTGGACTTGTTGAATGATGTGGCGCTGATTCTTTAATCAATGGATTGTGTTTTCTTAGGTAGAATTCTTCTTAGCTCTAGATCTAAATCAGGGGTGGGCAGTTATTTTGGGCAGAGGGCTGCTTGCTGAGTTTTGGCAAGCCATTGAGGGCGGCATGACAGGCAGCCCAGGCAGATTAATATTAATTTTCTAAGTTTTTTTTAGGGGTCCTGTGGGCTGGATAGAATGGCCTAGCAGGCCGCATCCGGCCCCCAGGCCGCATTTTGTCCACCCCGATCTAAATTTATTGTGTTTATACCCTCTGCTGAGTGCACATCTAAACTGTCCAGAAAATTGTATTTATTGCTACTTCTACAGGCTTAGCAATTCCATTAAATGTTTTGAAAATTCTTTGGGGGGAGGACATAGCCATGTAGTGGTTTGTCAGTTACTTCATTGTCTTATTTTATAAAGAATATAGGAGAGGGCTGGAAGGAGAGGTTGTATAAAATTTATCTGAATGGCTGTTAATTCAGGAGATCATGAATTACTTGATTTGAAGGAGATGAAAGAATGACTGTCAAAATATTGAAAATAGAAGTAATTGTGACCTAAAACCCGAAATTGCTATATATTAAGAAATGGAGGAGGTGGAAGATAGAATAGGAATAAAAAAAGTTTTCAGACTGAAAGATTATATAAGGAAAAACACAATTTAAAAAGAATTTAAAGACTGCCCTTAGGCTAAAAATATTTAGCAGACCATGTGTGGCTGTAAGAATGAGAGAATGGGGCTTCAGCAGTTAAATTTGTATTCAGCTGTATATTTGTTTTTTTTTTGTTTTTTTTTCAGTGAGGTTCACCTTGACATCAGTACCTTGGTTCAGCATGGCTTAGCTGTGCACATCTCAAATAAGTCCTTGTTCTGCATATCCAGAAATTCTTTGCAGCAGTCATCCCATTATCCTTAGTAAAAGGTTTTCCACAAAGGTCTTCCTTCACTTTGGGGAACAGGAAGAAGTGGTAGGGTGCCAAATTTGGGAATAGGCTATAAAGCATTTCAAAGATGTGTTTGGTCATTTTGGTCACTAACCTAAAGTAATGCACTGTTTTGGAGAATCGGCACTCCTCAACTCAACTTTCCCTAGGCCCCTGGCAGACATTAATATAATCACAACATTGGGATATAAGGAATTTTATACCATACCTAATCTAAAAAATTGTGTCCCACCATGCCATATGTACATATTAGGATGTGCGATTTGAGGTACAATAAAAATCTGACGTTACAGCTTAAGGTATTTTAAAAATGTTTTCCTAGAATTAGTTTTTAAAGTTCCAGGTTGTAGTCGTATTGGTCTAGACCAGGGGTTGGCAACCCCTGGCACGCATGCCGAGCATGGCATGTAAGGCCATTTTGCTTGGCACACTGTGGCCAGCCCCGGCTCTGGGTTGCTGCGGCTGCGGCATCAGCCCTGTGCTGGTGGCGACTGCACAGGCAGCTCGGGGCAGACAGCAGGGCAGCAAAGCCTGCCCCGAGGTACCCATGCAGTCTCCGCCAGCATGGAGCTGATGCTGGAGCTGTACAGCCCAGCGCAGCTGTTTGTACTCTGCCCACTGCTTGCTGCAGCTGCCCAGAGCCTGGGCTGGCTACAAACAGCTGTGCCGGGCTCATCACCTCCATGCTGGGAGTGGGGGATAGACCAGGGCTGCGCTGCCTCAGGCCCCTCCCCCCCCACCAGCTCTGAGGCGTGCCTGCACGCACTGGTGCGGAACTCATGCTGGAGCCCGGCACAGCTGGTTGGAGGCTCCCGGCTGCAGCCAGCCCCGGCTCTGGGGAGCTGCTGCCAGCCGGGATCCCGGGCTGCTCCCAGCAGGCAGCTGGGATGCTGCAAGCCCTGCTGGGAGTAGCCTGGGCTCCAGCTGCTAC